GGGGCTGGGGAGAGCCAGCAAAGGCAGGGGCTCTGCAGCCGGGGCTTGAAGAGGCAGGCGTGGGCGGTGAGAGGACGCGGGTCTGATTCCTGAAGCTTCCGCCCATTCACTGAGTGCCCCGTGAGAGCTACTTAGTCTCCGTCGGCCTCAGTTTCCTCCTTTGCAGATGGCAGACTGTCACACCTGCCCCGCAGGGGAGTCGCCGGGAAGGGTGACCAGAGGATGCGCTGGAAGCTCATGGAAGAGAATTAGCCCAGGGTGAGGATGCGGTAAAGGCAGTCATGCCCGTGACTATGAGCAGTATTTCTCCATTTGTTTCCCAGGCGTTTTCATTATCTGAGGGTGCCTCCCCCCAGAATAACAGTTGTTTCATTTTCCTTCTTCTCCTTGTTCCCTCTGCCTAGAAAAATCTTTTTCCCCTCCAGAGCTAATATTTATTGAGTCCTTACTACATGTTATAGGCCCCGTTTTAAGAGTTTTTACAGGTATTAAGTCATTTGTAGTAATCCACTGGGGTCAGGGCTACTATTTTCCCAATTTTATAGATCAGAAAATTGGGGCCCAAAGAGGTCGAGCAACTTGCCCGAAGTTCACACTGCTCATGGGTGGAGGCTCATCCTGGCCCAAGGATGCTCTCTAAACTCCGCTGTCCACTGCCTTGGTGTGTCAAAATCACCCCCATGGCTTCAGCGCCAGCTTTTCCTCCTCCGAAGAGCCTTCTCCAATCTCCTAACTGGAAATAATCTTCCTTCTCCCTTTAAAATCCCCCCACTTCTTTGTTAGTCTCTAGGTGACAGTCCTTGCCTTCTACTTGATATCTTTATACTTGTGCACAGTACGTCTTAGCTTACCTCCCTGTCCTGTTATTCCATGAGGTTAAGGGCCAGGTCTTATTTGATTTTATATGCTCCAAAAACCTGGCAACATGCCTTTATAAGAAGTTAGACCACCATTATAAGAAATTAGACCCTGGCCAAATATCACAAAGACTCAATTCTAAAGCCAACCAAAAACTTGCCATACCAGCAATAAAATGCATTAAGTACATGATTGTGAAACTAACTGCCACGCACAAGGGCTCTCTCCACATTCCAACTGGTAACCACACTTCTGAATGCTAGATCTTTGGCCTCTGGCTTCTCCTTCACATGCACAGCACAGAGGGGCTGAGCTGAGAGCTGAAGTGTGAGTGGGAATGGAATGGGAGAAAGGGTAGGGCCCAGGAGACCTTTTTCTGGAACCTCCTTTGAAGCCCGGAGCTGAGAATTTGGGACAGCCCTGAGATCAGCTCTGCGGGATGAGCTGTTGCAATTCCTCAGATGCCGAGACCATGTTCACACACCACAAAGACAACTGAGACAAGGACATCATGGACTCCCCGTCCCTACACTGACGATAGCCCCTGGTCACAAAATACCATGTCTGTCTCTCATAGCTCCACAGAAGATTTATGTAAGTGCAAAATGACTAAGACTTTCTAGAAAGTGCACATCCTGTCTTGGGTATGACCAAACATTTGTGAGATGGAAATCATCTCCATTGGACACTGGGCTGTTATAAGAAAAGTTAAACTGGTAGGACAGTGGGCATGTGAGCGCTGACTCTCCTGAAGATTCACATCTATGAGGAACCCACACGTCTGAGGGAGGAAGCCCAGGGGAGGCCGTCGGGACCTGATAAATGAACAGAGGAGCAGAAGTGACTACAGGGACGCAGTGAGCCTGTGGGCCCCCGGGTCCAGTGGGGGTGGGGAGGGTGCGCACCCCAGGCAGATTCTGCGGAGTTTGGGGAAAGATCCAAAGGAGCTTGAGAGGCACCTTATTCAGCTAAAAGTGGGGCCACAGAAGAAGTCAAACTAAAAGGTGGAACTTCCTCTCTACACCTAAGTGTGGCCCAAGGAATTGTTGGGTGAGAGGAGGAAATGAAGAGAGTGCTGGGAGGAGGGGCCAAACTATCTCAGAGCCCGTGGCAGTCCGGAAGGAAGGCTGGCCACAGCAGATGCAACGTCCAGACCCTCAGGGGAAAGATAAACAGGTTCCCACAGAGGCTCTGACACAGCGGTTCTTAACCCTTTTTGGGTCTCTGACCCCTTTGGAAATATGATGAAAATTCTCTCCTTGGAAAAAAGAGCACACATGTTCCCACAGGGGTCTTTATGGTGAAGAAACTGTTTCTATTACAGCTGAACTGCAAACAACAGCACAAGGGAACAGGTGGGGAGGGGGAAAGAGGCTGGAGGGGCTGAGGAAACGGTTCTGTAGGGTTCTCATCCATAATGGATGGAAGGAAGGGTAGCCAGCAGCAAATTACGAACAAAAATTGTGGCATGGGGCTATGAGAACAGGCCAAGAAGGCTTAAGTCCAAAATGAGGCAGAATTTTTTTCCTGTTAAAAGTAACGAACATAGGCTGTACTTGGGTTCAGAGCACCAAGAGCAACAGGAAAAGCTAGCACTCTGACATTGGCAGATCTCCCCAGCCTCTGGGCTGACCTCAGTTCTGTCTTTTCTGTTGAGAAGATTAATTTCCAGACTCTAGTATGTGATACCACATTGCTAGGAAGGAACTGTGCCCCAAGACTGAACAAGTTAGACAGCAACTGGCCATGTCAAAAGATTCAAGAATCTTGGCCTAGAACAAGCACCTGCTGGGAGGTGCTCAGCTGAGAAGAGAGGAAACTCTTCCCTTGGTCGGGGAAACGGTTTTAGATCTTTTGCTCTGTCAACTCTGGAAGACAAATTGAGGATCAGTGGATGAAAATCTCAGGGATGTAAATGGCAGATTCCTATTAGGAAGAATAACAAGTAGAGTTTTTCTCAAGTGGGGTGAACTGCCTGGGAGTCTCATGTCCCAGGAGGTATCCACGTGAACACTGGGCAATCAGTTTAGAGGGCTCCTGTGGGAGGGTGGGGACAAAAGGTCTCTGCTAACCCTGAAAGCCTATGGTTCTGTGGCTCTACAAGACAAGGGGAGAAAAGAATGAGTACTTTTTCAGGCTACCTTCAAAGTGTTTAACTTAGCTTCTGCACCTCTGATTTGGAGCATATCACTCCAGAGTGTGACCCCTACTCATCCCTCCACCCTTTGTCTTTCTTCCCTTCTCCTTGTCCCTTGTTCCACTCTTCAGTTCTTTTCCTCACTCTTCTTTTATTCTTCTTTATTTCTTTTTACTCAAATCCTAAAAGTTGGTGGAATAGAAGGCACTTTTGTGTCTCTCATCTAGAATCCTTCTTTTTGGGTTCTTGTCTATTATATCTCACCCAAGTTTGCCACACCTCTTCCATGAAGTCCTCCCTGACTACTCCTCCTCTGAGCCCCTACTGCTCTGATCCCACACCTCTCCCTTAACTCTGAGACTCATAGGATCTGGTGTTCTTTCTTCTATTTTAAATCATAACATCATTTCACTTTTCACATGTAGGTCATTTTACCTCCAGTAGAATATAAACTCATGGAGTGAAAGATTTTTTTTTAAGATTTTATTTATTTTTAGAGAGAGGAGAAGGAAAGGAGAAAGAGAGGGAAAGAAACATCAATGTGTGGTTGCCTCTCACGTGCCCCCTACTCGGGATCTGGCCCACAACCCAGGCATGTGTCCTGACTGGGAATCAAACTAGCAACTCTTTGGTTGGCAGGCCCGTGCTCAATCCATTGAGCTAGCTACACCAGCCAAGTCTGAGTGAAATATTTTTTTTAATCTCCTAAAGCATCTACTACTGTGCACTTCACAATTATTCTGAATGAAAGCTGGATTCTACCACCTAAGATTCTATATATATATAAGGATAAAAATAAAACCACTGGACTAAAGCTGAATATTGCAAGAAGTAGTTCAGCTCCAAGTGATCAGAATCAGAGAGCTGGAAGGGGCATTAAATCACCTCCCTCACTTTGCATCCCATGCACTGGGGCTAAGTATTTATGGGACCTGGAAGCAGAACTGGACTAGAGCCAAGGTCTCTGTGTTTCCAGAGCAGTGTGCCATCTTTGATCTCTCAATGCAAAGCCTCAGTGAAGAGTGCTGAAGCAAGCTAATAGTTATGAGTCTTCAAAAGTGAGTAAAACCTCTACTTGCCTGCAAGCATAGCGATGGACTAAGTGACTTCTGAAGTTTCTCAGAGACAGGTTGTGTAATCACACACCTGGGCATCTTATCGAAAGCATGCTTTTGCAATTGTGCCATCTAGTGGTGTGAGGCAGATATTGCACCATTAGCCATCTCCACTAACACATTTTACCTCAAGAAAGAGCTTTTAGAGAATGCCAAACAGATGATGGGCTATGCTAGTGCTGTTTTCAGGTAATTACACTTGTTTTGAGCAGCAGAAAAATAAGTAGAGGCCCTAGCTGGGTATCTCAGTTGGTTGTGGGTTTGATGCCTGGTCAGGGCACACACAAAAATCAACCAACGGCCCTGACTGGTGTGGCTCAGTGGATTGAGCGCCAGCCTGAGAACTGAAAGGTGGCAGGTTCAATTCCAGTCAGGGCACATGCTTGGGCTGTGGGCCAGGTCCCCAGGTAGAAGCATATGAAAGGCAACTGATTGATATAGCTCTAGCACATCAATGTTTCTCTCCCTCTCTCCCTCCCTTCCCCTCTCTAAAATAAATAAATCAAATCTTTAAAAAAAATAGAATAGCACTGGCTGGTCTGGCTCAGTGGAATGAGTGCCAGCCTGTGAACCAAAAGGTCACCGGTTTGATTCCCAGTCAAGGCACATGGCTGGGTTGCAGGCCAGGTTTCCTAGCTGGGGCGTGCAAGAGGCAACTGATTAATGTATCTCTCTCTTACACATTGATGTTTCTCTTCCTCTCCTCTCCTCTCTAAAAAGTAAATAAAATCTTAAAATAAAAAAGAATCAACCAACAAATGTGTAAATAACTGGAACAACAAATTAATGTTTCTTTCTTCCTCTCTCTCTCTCTCTCTCTCTCTCTCACACACACAGACACACACACCCAACTCAATTAATTATTTAAAAAACAACAACTCAGAGATGGGTTGGGATCAAGGAACATGGCCCAGCCTTTCTGAAGCTGTTTATTCACAGGGAGGGCTATGGGACCATGAGGTCCTTGGGCTGTGGAGCAAAGATAAGCCCCGAACTCCCGCTCTGGCTCAGTCACTCAGGGCCTCTCTCTAACTCACTCTGGGCGGCGGCCTAGGTCCACGGGCCAGGCACCTGAAAGAAAATGCTACATGGAAAGGGCATCTCTCCCTCCATGCCCAGACCCCCATCACAGAATCCACATCCCTATCAGGATGGCACCAAGTCCAAGGGAGCACAGGGAAGGGGGTGAGGAAGAACAGGGTCAAGAGCACAGGCCAGGGACACTCTCTTCCACTGGGATCTGGCTTTCTCATCTACGGGATCCTGGACAAGAGGCTGCAGGCCTCAGGAAGAGAACGAACGGTCTGGCCTTGAAAGACCCTGAGAGAGGCAGGAGGAAGTGACTGATAGGAGTCAAGATAGGGTGCAAAGACCAGGAAGGGCAGGAGGCCAGACAGGAAGGGAATGAGGGGAGGAGATGGCATAGAAAGGGGAGAGGAAATGGTGAGAGGGGTGGGCTGCGCTCCAGTCACCATCCTCTGCGGTTTCCTCCTCAGGCGCAGGCCTGGGGCAGAAGAGCTCTGGGGCACGTGGTGTTAGTCCAAGCCCCTCTGTGGCCCCAGAAGGGACCAGCATGGGGAGGCTGTACTCACCCTGGAGGGGCCTTTTTCACCCAGACATGATGTGCTTGACGAAGGCTGCGAAAGAAGACAAGGATCAGCCGTTGCACATGGCCCCTCTTGGCTCTATATTGTCCTCTTGGCCCCCTAGACTTCTTCCCCCTGCCCTGTGCTGCCTGACTGCAAACCTTCCCACTGCCCCTTCTCCAGTCTGAGATTCTTTCTCTTATTCGGGGGGTGATGGGAGGAGGTGGGAGAGGGAAGAGACCTCACCTGTGCTCTGTGTCCACTCTGTGCTGATACCTGACATAGATAAAATGAGATACACTGCCTCTACTAAATCCCACAACCTTGAAAAAGGTGCCTACAGCACCCCATTTCTCAGATGGGAAAATTGAGGCTCAGAGAAGGTAAGTGACTTAATCAAGGTCACACAGCTCGTATATCACGGAGCTATCTCCAAATTCCATGCTCCTCCCATTATACCAGAATGGAAAAGATAAACATCAAAGCCCATCTGGTGCTCGTGTCCTCTAGCTCCTGGATCTGTTCTACTTTGGAGGCCTGCCTGGCCCACACTGTACCTGCCCTCCCCTCCCCGGGTACCCATGGAAGCGAGGCGTGACCTCATACCTTCATAATTGATGCAGCCATTGGCATCCTCTTGCCCAGCTAACAGCTGCTCCACTTCGGCCTCAGACATTTTCTCTCCTGGGGTGGGGGGTCAGTGGGCTTTTAATTGCAGATGGCAAAGGAGGGACAGGAAAAACCCAAACACCCCCTCAAGTCTGAAGGCCTAGGACTCCCCGATCTGGTAAGTGGTCACACCAAGCCTCCCCTAAAGGCACTGGACAGTGGAGCCAAGGGTCTCGAGGCCCTTCCCAGTCCCCGGGGCCTCTCCCTCTGCCTTTCAGCTAATACTGGGTGAGCAGACCAGGGCTCCAGTGACCAAGGCAAAGACAAGGACAGGAATCCTGGGTCCCACCCCTCAGGTCTCAGCAGTCACCCTGGCTCTGCCAACCTTCTGCCCCCTCCCAAATCCCGCGGGGGGCAGGCTGTTTCCGCACAGCCCAGGGAGACAGGGCTGGATCAGGACGTGATCCTCAGGGTGCAGGGACTCCCACCACCTACTGCCCCACTGGCGTACCCAGGGTGGCAAGGACATGGCGAAGCTCAGCGCCCATGACTGTGCCGTTGCTTTCCTTGTCGAAAACACGCAGCCCCTCCACGAAGTCCTCGTAGGTGCCCTGCTCCTTGTTGCGGGAGATGTGCTGCAGGATGGGCAGGAACGTCTCAAAGTCCAGCATCTTGACATTCATCTCTTGCGGTGGCGTAGAGAAGGGAAGGGATACAAGCAGAGTCACAAGGGGAGCAGAGGGTCAAAAGGGGGCCTCACCCCAGCTCTGCTGGGCTAGGACCCGACCCTGCCATCCCCCAGGGCTTAGCTGCAGCCATTTCCGGGCGCGGCACCCAGTCAGTGATCCTGGGCGGCACAGAGCCCACAGGAGCAAGGCAGGGAGTGGCTCGGACGCTCTCCTCAGGGACAGGACTCCTGCACAGGTGAAAAGGAGCTGTGACTCCTCCCAGACCTCTGAGCTCCAGGAGGCAGCTGAGAGTGACCACAGCAGAACGTGAGGGGCCCAAAGGACACATGGCCCAGCATTCACGTCCACAACACTGGCTTTGGACATGTGACAGACATACAGTCATGGAGGTAAACTGATAGGATTGCAAATATATATATATTTTTTGTGTAACTCTCCATTTGGGTCTCATTGCTAGACTACACTGCCTAAAACTACTCTGAATCAATAATTTTTATACACCCTGGCTGGAGTAGCTCAATGGATTCAGTGCAGGCCTGTGAACCAACGGATGGTGGTTCGATTCCCAATCAGGGCACATGCCTGGGTTGCAGGCCAGTTCCCAGCAGGGGATGTACAAAGGCAACCATACACTGATATTTCTCTCCCTCTCTTCTTCCCTTCTTCTCTAAAGATAAATAAATAAATAAATTTAAAAAATAATTTTATACATTTGCATATATTTTGTGACAAACACACTTCTCCCACATTGCAGTGTGTTAAATAAAAGCTTCAATTTAATAGATGTAAACCATTGTAAAATACCACAAATTCTGGCATTTCTTTCTTTTACAACAACCCAGAACCACGCCCCCAAGTGGAAGTGCCCAGATAACTGCTGCCTCTAAGACGCCCGGCTGACGAGGGCAAGCTGCTGGCCTCTGGCGCTTTCCTGCCCACGTCCTTCCTGCTGCACTGTTGTCATCTGCAGCAGGAGGAGGAGGGACGGGGACCAATATGGGGCCCAGGAGGCCTCCAGAGATGGCTCGCCCGGGTCTGCCTGGCCCCACCTAGTGCGTAAGCCTCTGAGGAGAAGGACGTGTGTTAGGGCGGCTGTTACCTCGACTGCCTCACGTGACTGGGGACATTCACCAGTGGGACTCAACTCCCTGGTACCACTTTCTAAACCTCGTCCACCAAGTGCAAGTGACTGAAAGAGGAATCATTCTAGAGCTAATCTTGAATCTGCTGTAATTTATATTAAATGAATAATTTGTGATCTCCAGCTCTCTAACCATTATCAGAAACAAGTTATTTGTGATAAAACTCACAAGGGTCACAGGACATCTCGGTGCTGTGGTACTTGAACCAAGAGCTCCTGGGTGGGGAGTGGGGGTGGGTGGTTAGTTATCAGATGCCCATCAGGTCCCCTGCCCCAGCGTCCCTGGAATCCTTGAGTGTCAGAGGAAGGCAGAATGTCACCCCTGCCCTCCGGATGCAAGCCCAGGCCACATTCTTCAAGGTTCAACTAAGTGCCAGGTGCTTCCGGATAAATTCCCCAAATAAGAGGCAGGTAACCAGGGGGAGGGAAGGCTAGTCATGAAGGGTCAAAGGTGGAGAAGGGAGAGAGCAGCTGACAGGAGGCAGATCTGGGGGAGATCCCTGGGGGTGGCAGGGCAGGCTGAGCCCCGGGCCTGCGCTGACCTTCCGGCTTGGGCTTGCCCAGGACGCGCAGCACCTCAGCGTTGGTGGGGTTCTGGCCCAGGGCCCGCAGCACGTCCCCACACTGCCCGTAGGTGATCTTCATCTCTCCAGTCGGCGTCCGGTCAAACAGCGAAAAGGCCTCTTTGAACTCTGCAGAGACAAGACCATGCAGCTGCAGCCCGTGGGCCAAGTGAAGGAATTGGGGGGGGGGGGCTGCTGATCAGCCTCCACCCTGGCCGAGGAGCAGGTCACTGTGGCTTATAAAATATATCAATATTTCCCTCCCAGCTCCTCCCTGGAACTGTTTTCTGACAACTAAAGAGACAGCCCAGCGCCTCCATCACCTATTCCAATGCTGGGCCTGGGACCTCTTCTATCAGTCAACTGTCACATAATTTGCAGGTCTCCCCTGCTTCCACCCCTTCCATCCACACATCCTTCCCTGGTGTAGATGAAGATCTTGACTGTTGAAAATGGCAGGGAAGTGAAAATAGCACTGGTTCAGGAGGCGGGGTTCCCGGGTTTTCTCCGGCCTTTGTGGAGCCTGCCGGATAAGCCTGCTAGGTCTTTTTTTCCTGGGCACCACGAGGAGCAACAGCGCCACCCACCGAGCACTCCCAGTTACTCAGGAATGTCAAAGGAGGAGACAGTATGTGGAGGCACTCTGCAAAGTGGTAAGACCTGTTCAAAAGTCAGCTAATTAATACCTGTAATTCCTGCTCCAGGCTGAAAGGGGGCTCTGGAGCCAGACAAGATGACATGATGGAAAGAGACCACCTGACTCTGCCACTGACCAGCACATGGCCTTGGGCAAACTACTAACCTCTGAGTGCCCTCCTTTTCTTAGCTCCAGGTGGGGATACAAAGTCCACCTGAGTGGGTTGCTGAGTAGAATTAAGAAGAATAGTTATTACTGTATTTCCTGGTTCTCAAGCCAGCTCAGATGTATAGGGAACTATGTTCCCCGAAGGGACCAGGGCAGGTGTTCGAGAGGTAGGGCTTAATTAAGGCACCCCTGGGCCCTTACAGAGAGCCCTAATTCCTCACTAATTTGGATGCAAGCCATTCATTACTGTGGGTAATTTGGACTGGAAATGGCACAGAAGTTACCTTATGCTATTCACAAAGAAATGGTTTACTAAGCAGATTAACCAAAGAAGAATGTGTCGAGTACTTAGGAGAAAAGCTGTTTTTAATCCTCTCAAGTACTTTAGAAACAATTATTTACTTAGAGGCTATATATGGACTATTTACAAATCATTCCACAAATCAAAGCAGGTTTCCCAAAACTTTTACTTGCAACCCTTTATCAATTCTTGCATGACTCTAAAAGATGTGAAACCACCTGTCTTTCACATTCCTGAATGACTGAGTTCAAATTCCATTTCCATCGCTTACTAGCTGTGTGACTTTGGGCAAGTAGATGTTTAACCTGCACGAAACCTCCTCTCTAAACGGTTCCTATGTCACAGGGTTTATATTATAGATTACATCCAAATTACATAATTTATGTAAGTTATTTTCCCATATTATTTTTCACCTAAATAAAATATGTAAAAACTCAACACAATGAACAGCACATAGTAAATTCTTAAACGATGCTATTAGTATGATTTTACTGAGCTTAATCCCAATTTTACCACTTAACTATGTGACTTTGGCCAACTCACTTAAATTTAATAAACCTTGGTTTCTTCCTTTGTAATAAGGAAATAACACCAATCTCACAGATTTGTTAGAAGGGTTTAATTTTTTTTTTACCTTTGAAACAATTAGCTTGCTTTCTGGCACAAATTCAGTGCTTAATAAGTATATATATTTGTTTAGCTGAATCTAAACTAGGACTTTTTAATCTTCTGGTTCATTCAGAAGAGTGAAGTCAGATTTAATAAAAGAAATCTCCTCATAAAAAATTATAACAATACCTAATAAGAGTATGGAATATGTAGAGGAAAGGAATAAGAAAAACCTACGAGCCCTGGCTGGTGTGGCTCAGTGGACTGAGTGCCAGCTTGCAAACCAAAGGGTTGCTGGTTTGATTCCCAGTCAGGGCATATGCCTGAGATGAGGCCAGGTCCCCAGTAGAGGGCGCATGAGAGGCATCCACATTGATGTTTCTCTCCCTCTCTTCTCTAAAAATAAATAAATACAACTTTTTAAAAAATATATAAAAAAATAACAACCTATGTTTGAGTGCTTATTGTGGGCCAGGCTCTGAGCTGGTAATTTTGCATGGGTCACTTCATTAATCTTTAGAAAAATGTTGTGCTACAGGGATTATTATCCTCATTTTAGACCAATGCAGATGTGACTTCTGACCAGCTATTAAAGAAACCAAGGAAATGGTGAAGAGGAAGGAGAAGAGGAAGAGACCTGCTGTACCTGCTAATGCTCCAGCCTTCTGGGAAACCTGGTACACATATAAAAAACAAACACTAGAGTTTAGAAAACTTGCTACTAGAAAAAAAAACAAAGTCAGTGTGATCTTGTGTGTGAGAGGTGATGCTAATGGACTCAGAAGAAACCTTCTCTCAATAGTCTGTAGTAGTCAGCTGCTTGCTTGAGAAATGGGCAATGGTGGCAACCCCTCTCTAGAAGGACATAGAAATCTAGAGAGGGATCTGAGAAGGACGTCAATGGTTAGAATCTAGTTCTATGAGAAAAAAGACATAAAAGAAATTTGGACCATATCACATGGAGAATAGAAACCTATGAAGAGAGCTGATAACTGTCTTCAAACAGACAGAGGGTAACTGGAGGATGCTGAACACACTCACTGCATTTCTGAATGGAAAAGAACCTTACTTTGTGGATAAGAAAATTCAGGTTTGAAGAAGTGACTGTTCAAAGTCTCATGGTCACAGTGGCAGAATGTGGGCTAATACCAAAATCTCCTAATTCCAAACAATGTTCTTTCCAACACGTGAGAACCATCTTCAGCTTCATCAATAAGCAAATAGAGAGGAAGCTGAGATAAAATGAAAACAGCAACAATTATGATCCAACATAAGAAAGAATGTCTTCAAAGTCAGAGGGGTGAAGGGCTGGAATGAGGCAGGTCCCCAGCCCTGACAATCTTCACGGAGAAAGGGGCAACTGGCCGTCCCAGTTGGCTTAACTGTGATTCCCATTTGAAAAGTGAAATATGTTTATCATGAGTTGCTTTCCTAGTCCTCCTGGGTACCGAGGTGTTTGTATATCCACAAAAGTATATCTTTAACTACAATGCATGAAAATGAATTTTAATAATTTTACAACACCCCAAAGTGTTGACTGAAAATGAATGTGTACAGGGCATTGCAAAAACAGAGTCAGACTCAATTCACTCGTTTCAAAATGTATCTGCCAGTCTTCATGCCCCACATGTGGGTGAACTGGCAACACATTTCTGAAGGGCAACTTAGCAGTAACTATTACAATTAGAAATGCATGTATCCTTTGACCCACTGCTAGGAAGGTCTCCAGAGAAAGCAAGCTGATATTCCACAACTAGAAACAACCTAAATGTCTCTCAGTGTAGGCCTGATTAAATTAAAAGGTACATCTATGTGTGAGAATCTATATAATTGTTGAAAAGAGTTAAAAAGTATAACTGTGTTAGATATACAAATATATATATATAAACATATTAATAAACAATGTATTATATATTATCAAATCTAAGTATATACGGTCCAGCACCAATAATCCCCCCCTTTTTAAATGTATTTTATTGATTTTGCCATTACAGTTGTCCCATTTCCCCCCTTCATTCCCCGCCACCCTGCACACCCCTTCCCCCTATTCCCCCTTTTTAGTTCATGTCCATGTGTCTCAAGTTCTTTAGCTACTACATTTCCCACACTACTCTTGCTCTCCTTCTGTCTATTTTCTACCTACCATCTATGCTACTTATTTTCTATACCTTCTCCCCCCTTCTCCTTCTCCCATTCCCCTGTTGCTAACCCTCCATGTAATCTCCATTTCTATGGTTCTGCTCCTGATCTAGCTGTCCTCTTAATTTGCTTTTGTTTTAGGTGTGGTTGCTAATAACTGTGAGTTTGCTGTCCTTACACTGTTCATATTTTTTATCTTCTTTTTCTTAGACAAGTCCCTTTAACATTTCATATAATAAGGGCTTGGTGATGAACTCCTTTAACTTGACCTTATCTGAGAAGCACTTTATCTGCCCTTCCATTCTAAATGAAAGCTTTGCTGGATAGAGCAATCTTGGATGTAGGTCTTTGGATTTCATGACCTGGAATACTTCTTTCCAGCCCCTTCTTGCCTATAAGGTCTCTTTGAGAAATCCGCTGACAGTCTATGGGAACTCCTTTGTAGGTGACTGTCCCCTTACCTCTTGCTGCTTCTAGAATTCTCTCCTTCATTTTAATCTTGGCTAATGTAATTATGATGTACCTTGGTGTGTTCTTCCTTGGGTCCAAGTTCTTTGGGACTCTCTGAGCTTCCTGGATTTCCTAGAAGTCTATTTCCTTTGCCAGATTGAGGAAGTTCTCCTTTATTATTTGTTCAAATAATGTTTCCACTTGTTGTTCTTCCTCTTCCCCTTCTGGTACCCCTATAATTCGAATGTTGGAACGTTTATAGATGTCCTGGAGGTTCCTAAGCCTCTCCTCCTTTTTTTGAATTCTTGTTTCTTCATCCTTTTCTGTTTGGTCATTTTTTCCTTCCTTCTGGTCCACTCCCTTGATCTGAGTCCCAGTTTCCTTCCCACCACTATTGGTTTCCTGTGCATTTTCTTTCATTTCACTTAGTTTAGCCTTCATTTGTCCCTCTAATTTGTGACTAAAACCAACCAGTTCCGTGAGCATCCTGATTACCAGTGTTTTGAACTGTGCATCTGATAGGTTAGCTATCTCTTCATCACTTAGAAGTACTGGCTCTGGGGCTTTGAGCTGTTCTTCTTGAGCCATAATGTTTTGGCCCGTTCATGCCTGTTACGTATGAGGGGTGAAAGCTTAGGTGTTCACTGGGGAATAGTGCCCCCTTTTTATTACAAAATCTTTTATCACAAAATCATAGGCATGTTATTCTGTAACATAACAATATCATACTCGAGCATATTATATGACACTTTAGGTGAAATATTCAAATTAAAACTATAAATTATTATACTCATATGATTACCCTGCCTACCACAATTAAGCAGGTGCTACTTCTGCCAGACCCTGTATATTAAATAAAGGCTATGAGACTGTGTGTATCACATGACTTGATTTGTGTAAGCTTTATGCATATACACATACATACATATAGACTGGTATATCACTACCAGTGATACCCATCACTGGGTACACAGACCTATTAACAGTGCTTGTCTTTGGGAGAGGAGTCAGCATAAAAGGAAAGCAAAGGAAAATAGTTTTATTTTTCATTATTTACTTTTAATTAGTATGTAATTTTTTTACCATGTGCACATATTAGTTTAATTTTATAGATACAGTACGTGCTTACAATCAAGGGGTTGGACCAGATGACCTTTCAAGGTCCCTTCCAACCCCCTGATTTGATGTCCTGGGGGCATTTGGTGGGGGAGCAGGGATGAGCCACCATGGCAGTGAGCCCCAGCTGTGGAGCAGATGTGCATTAGAACACATTTCATCCTCAAAACACATGTAGGAGATGGCCCACGAAGTGACCATAAAGTTAGTAGGTAGATGGAGATCTTGAGGCTTGTTTTGAAGCTACACTAAATACCACTTTATACAAGATTGAGAAAAACAAATTGGCTCATCAAGGAGAAGCACTGCTGATGGAGCTCACGGGTCGGCCAGGGCATCCCCGAACCACTATCGGCTCTGCCACTGTTAGTGGGTGAGCACCTCGGCAGACTTCAGGAGGAAGAGAGAGGAAGCTGGCAAACCAAAGGAGGGCTTTCCAATAAAGGAACAGAAGTGAGGGGTTCTAAATATGTTGGAAAGTAGATTTTGGAGGTAGAGGGACAAAGAGGCATTTTTACTGTGCAGTGCACCTGTTACATTCCATTTGGTCTGGCGGAGTCGTCGAGAACTCAGGTCTGGAGTCAGATGGCCTGAGTTGGAATCTTGGCTCTACCACCAACTGCCTGTGTGAGACTGAGCAAGCCACCCAACTTTCCTGTACCTCAGTTTTATCACCTATAAAATGGGGTAGTAACAGTCCCTACCTCACAGGGTGGTTGTGAGAATTGAATGAGTTAATGCATGCTTAAGTAATAACATGTAGTAGGCAACAATGAGCAAATAGCAAATCTATGGCAAATATAAGTTTGCTATTATGATAGTAATGATGATTACTGTTTTGGTGATGATGATCATTCTTCCTCTTTCTCCGCCTCCTCCTCCTCTAGGAGGTGCAAGAGAGAGGGTGTGGGGGGGTTGGGGTTGTTAGTACTCACCCTCAATCTGGTCAGCAGTGAAGTCTATCTGTGGGGAGAGAAACACAGAGGAATGAGACTGCCAGAGGCCTCCAAAAGGAAGCAGAAGTGGCTTCCACCACAGTCAGGCCACTGATGAGGACGGAAGGAGACTGCGGGCCAAGGGTAAAACACCAGTCTCCCCATGAATGGGACATGACTCGCAGGCTATAAGATAAACGATGTGGCCTCCGTCTCTCTCTCGATAGTCGTCACTTGTTAAGTGACGACTCCAAGTGAGAGAGGGAAAGAAAGAGAAATGCCTCAGACGAGAGCCTACACTCACTCCCTGTTAGAATTCCTTTGGGTCAAATGTAAATTCCTTGTCCTAGCAGCCGTAAACTGACCTCACTTTCATTCCTTCAGTCTCTCTCTGCTCCACATCCTCCCACAAGTCATACAGCCTCTCCCTTTGGGTGCCCCCCACTCCTCACTCTTGGCCTCCCTTTCCTACCTGATGTTGACCTCAAGTCACCTCCTTCAATGGAGCCTTCCCTCACCCCATTCCTTCCCAACCCCCCTGAGCACAACCCCCCTCTTGGGCACTCTGGGGCAGCAGGAGCAGTATGGGTGGGCCCCGGATGGTCTGTAACTGCTTTCCAGTCACGCCTGGTTGTGCATCCTGACTCCCTGAAGCCGGGGTTCCTGCAGAGCAGACACATTTGTAATTGTCCACAGAAATGTCTGGCATCGAGTAAATACTCAATAAATATTTGTTGAGCAAAGATGTAAACTTTGGATTTTCCCTCCAATGCAAAATAATTTAAATCTGAGTACAGAAGAAGAAAGTAGGAGGCTCTGGAAATGAATGACAATGACCAAGTACCAGGTATGAGTCATCATTTCTATTTAGGACCTTGTTCGTTACTTCATTGTCCTTATCTATCACCACCACCTCCCCAGAGTCCCCTCCCTGCTGGTGGTGGCAACCAACGCTGGAACCCCTTCTTCATGTACCACCATTCCTGAGTCCTAACTCTGAGCTGTGCTGTGCCCACCAGAGGCTGACCTCTGTTAATGAATGAGGACCCCAGCAGGTGGCTGGAATGAGCTAGGAGAGCAGAGGGAGTTACACTGGGTTGGGAAAGGAACCAGCTGTGGCCAGGAATGGACTCTGCCAAAGGCGGGAGGTGGTCGGGAAGTAAAAAGAACCCCCTAAATGGGCTAAACATTGCTTTGCATAAGCTCTCTGAGGAAAGGTACAGTTTGCCTTACTTGCAAAGTAAGTAAGGCAAACTGTTCTTTTTTTTTTTTTATCTTTTTCATTTATTGACTCTAGAGATAAGGGAAGGGAAGGAGGGAGAGAAATGGGGGTCAGCTGATTCTTGCATGTGCCCTGACTATGCACTGAACCGAAAACCCAGGCACGTGCTCTGACCAGAAGTGGAACCGGGACCTTTGTGTTTTCAGAACAATGCCTAACCAACTGAGCCACACTGGCCAGGGCTATTTTGCCATTCTTTAACTCCCAGGAGTACATGTGTAAGAAATATTAGTAAAAAACATAACATCAGAATGTATGGTCAGAGCCACACATACTGGGGTTAAGTTACTTTTGCTCTATCTTTGAGCAAAGAATCTTCTAAGCAAAGAAACCGAGAAGTACAAATAATAGGGAAAATAGCCTTTATGAAAGACACCTACTTTTTTTTTTCCACTTTAAAGCAACTTTAAAAAAAAAAAACACCAGGATTAGAAGATCCAGACCGGGAAGAGAGAACTGGGGCAAAGAAAGCAGGGGAGGTGGGTGAACGGAGGGAGGTGACGGGCGAGGGAAGGCACTCGTCTGATACCACCCAGCAGCTGTTGCCCAGACGCCAGGGACCAGGCCTGGCAGTGGGTGTCCCACAGGACTAGTGCATTAGCAGGACGAATCAGAAATAAAAGCGTCCTGATGGGGAGAGAGTCAGCTTTCTTTGCCAGGCTCTGCCCATAGAGGGAGTGATGTTTGACCTGAAATATCTGCAGGTATTTTCAAGATCTCACACTAAACCTCCGTTTTCCCAGAGTGTGTCATAACCAAGCTCTGGGGTGGGACAACTGCCCCCACCTCTTGGCCAAGACCGTTCTGCTGCCCTCCTACCCCTGGAGGCACTGCCATTGATCAACCCCAGGGGCCTTGGCAAGACTGCAGGGTTTCTGGGGCTGCAGGAGCTGGAGGGAACCCTCAGAAGGCCAGAAGGGTCATCCAATGAGAGCCCAGGGCTTTAGTTTCCTGCCTACTGTCACAGAATCTGGCCCCGAGCTCTTATTTTGCTCTGACTCTTCACCACCCTCAGCCCTGACCTCAGGCTGATATTCCTGGGGGCCCACAATGCCCAGCCTGTTATTAATAGCTCTTCATACCAGTGGCCACTTGACATCTTACATTCTAGTGCCAAGGCTTAAAACTGCTTCATTCTCCAGAGGCCTCTGACCTGCTCCTTTCTAGGCCTATTCCCTCCCAGTTCCATTCCTTCCCCAGCTGGGCAGAGAGCTGGGAGGCCTAAAATGACTCAGTCAGCAGGCAGGGCCTACCCCAGCTCCAGAAAGGAGAACCTTCCAGCGTGAGGGGAGCAGGGCAGGGCAGAGAGGGAACAGGGCTGAGGTGGCAGAGGGGACTAGGCCCAGCAGCCTCACGAGGCTAGAGAAAGAGTCTCAGCTGGGACGGACCAGTGCCCTGCACACGCCAGATAGGAGCCAGGCTGAGGCCACAGAAGGAGGGGCCCACCTGGGTAGGGAAGAAGAGAGGGAACCAGTCTTCTCTCACCGGCCTCCCACCCCCACACGCTGCAGGAGTCTGGGGTCGGGAAGCCTCCCCCAGCACGGGCAGCACGCTCCCTAGCCAGCAGCGTCACTTACTCCAAGTTCCACCAGCAGTTATCACAACACGTCTCTTCTCCAGATAGGCCTCATGCTACACTGAGGAAAAGGTCAGCCTCTTAACAAGGTCGGATGGCTGCACCTCCCTGCCGTTCCCAACTCTGCTGGGCAAATTAGGGTGACAAAGCAGCGCTTCCTCCGACAGGGCAGAAACCTGTTCTCCCGGGGCAAGGCCAACAAGCCGAAATACCCCTCAGCAGCCCCCACACCTGCTCCACTGACCCACAGGGCTGCGATCTGGGGCTCGGACATCACAGGCTTACCCCAGTCCAGCCTCCGTGAAGTAGATCTCCAAGCTCCAGGTGAATAGGGTCCTGAATGCCATTCCCACCCCTATCCCGGACGCTGAGGCTTACTTACCTTGATACTCTTGGGGTCAAAGGCAGGTTCCTTGGGGGGCTCAGGAGCTGGGGCAGGGGCTGGGGCAGGGGCGGGGGCAGGGGCTGCCTTGGCCGCTTCCTTCTTAGGCTCGGGCTTCTTGGGAGGCATGTTGCCTTGCTGGAGTCTTTGGTGGAGGTGGCACCTAGGAAGAAATCAAGAGATGCAGCGCCTGGGAAACAAGATAGGAGACTGGGCCACCTCCCTCTCCTTTTATCCTGGGCAGGAGCCCCCACAGAAGGGCTGGGTGAGAGCAAGAGCAGCTGCTACTGACTATAAAAGGAAGAAATACCAGCAGGGGACAGCTGACAACTGTGTATTGTCACCAGGTTTGGGGCTACCGGCCCCCTCCCCCTCTCCCCAATCCTCACACCCCTCACGGCTTCCACCTCTGGGACAGGCTGACCGCTTCCCGCCAATTGGTGGAAACCCAGAGGGGCCGGGAAAACAGGCCCTCTCAAAAATGCCAGCGGCCAGCCAGAGAGATGAGCTGACTTGAGCGGATGATAACCCTTACACAAAGCCCAGGGGAGGGTCAGGCTTTTTTTAGCCCCTCCTGAGCAGAGGCAGCCCACTGCACATTCCTTTCAAGCCAAGGTCCTTTAAGCTGAGAGCCACCCTGGGGCCTCGGCTCTGTCCTGAGGCTCAACTCTCAGGCCCAGAGCCCTGAAGCAACAGCTGGTCCAGCCAGTGCACACTGTCCCACCCCCTCCCAATCCAGAGTGAATGCCCCATCTTCCAGAGCAGGCATCCTAGGGACTCCACAGACCTCAGATCCCCACATCTACTACCCCACCAATCCTATTCATTCATTCAACCAGCACTGAGCACTTAACTCGTGCCCAGGGGCCCAGGGTGAGACACAGAGGGGTGTGGCTGAAAGGTGGTGAGACTGGAGGTCAGAAGTCTCAGGTCTCATTTTTAGTACACCTCTGACTCATTCTGTGCCCCTGGGTGTGTGCGTGGTGCTTACTGTGTACCAGGCACTGTTCATGTAAGTGCTGTTCATATAAGATGTCGTTAAAGCTTCACCACAGTCCTATAAGGTACATATTATTATCACTCGAGTGTTACACACAGGCAGATTGAGACTAAAAGTGGTAACAGCTAGAGGGCACTCAGCTAATGAACTATGAACTGCACGAGAGCCCAGGAGTGTCTGCTTCTGAAGTTTATGCTTGAATGTTCGATATTGGAATCCCACTCGTGTTTGTGTCCATCAGAAAGGTCATGGTGAGCACACACCAAACCGTTAACAGGAGACACCCCTGGGGACCTGCAGGGTGAGGACGGCATGATGACAGCAGCTAGTAGTTTGTTCCTTTTTCACTTCCTGTATTCATGGAAATTTTTATAACAAACACGTGCTGTTTTTGTAAAAAAAAAAAGGTCAAAAGTCAATAAATGTTCAGAAAAACACACAAAAAGCTTGTCTACTGCACAGAATGGCTTTGAGCAGCGTCTTGAGGCTCTACAGTTCAGAGAATAGAGAGAAATAACGCTGCGGAAGGCAGAAGAGTCACTTTGCCTTTCTAGGCCGTTCCTCACCTGTAAAACCAGACTGCTAGACTATTTAACACCTGGCCCCTGTTAGCTCCTAAGCCTGCAGTTGCAGGTGCCCTGGAACCCACATTGCCCAGGCTCCCTGAGCACAGGCCCCAAGTCCCAGAGCTTTCAGGGCCCAAAGGGCACTTAGAGATCCCCCCATCCCATCTGGTTTTATAGTGAGGAATCCAAGCCCAGTGGGAACGCTGGAGCTACCTCCAGACACACAGGCAGAGCCGAACATCTAGTTCTGGCCCTGTGTGTGGCGCTCTGACGCCACCCTGCCCTCCTGAGCCTACACCTGCTCTCACTGGTGGTGGGCAGGGAAGCCTTCAAAGGAAACTGACAGAAAAGGGGACCAGGGCTCGCCCAAGGGGACACTAGAGCAAGACCAGGGCACAAAGCGTTGGGTAGTCCTGATGCCAGGCTGGCGTGGAGGTTCCTTCGCTCTTTTCCCCTCACCTCTTCTCTTCGTCTCCTCCCCTTCTCTCTTCCTCTGACTCCTTGTCACCCACTCCCCTTCCCAGCGACTCTGCCTGCATCCTTCCCATTTTCCTGTCTGACTACTGACTACCTTATTCCCCAGGAGGGCTGGGAACTCAGGTCGTTGGTGATGAGGAAGGAAGAAAGAGGAGGCTGGGCCTCTCCCTACTCTCTACTCCCACCGGCATCCCCGCCCTTACCAGGCGTCCTTTGTGGTGGAGGAGGGGGGACACACAAACCGGGGTTCCTGTAGAAAGCTGCAGGCCAGGGGCTGGGTGACCCAGACACTAGTCCTGACTTTGCTGGCCACATCCCCTCTCTGGGTCTCAGCTTGCTTGTGTCCAAAATGAGAGATGATCAGGAGCTTTCGAGTGGTGTTCAGCAGACACCCGAGGCTCCCCTGACTTGCTTCCACTGCAAGGGACGCATAGAGGCCAGGTCTTGGAGCTCCCCCAGTCCCCCACTTCACTCAGCACCGCTCCCGTGTGCCTTACGTACTAGCTGGCCCACGGCCGTGCTCTAAGAAGTGGTTCCGTGGTTTAAACATGTTAAAATAACCACTGAATTGAGGTGCTCTCATGTGTCCCCTCCCAGTTAAAAAAACAAATTCTTCTAATCATTCTAGAGAGAAGTGTGATCTTCAAAAGACAGAGCTGGGAGGTGATCCTTTCCTTTTCTTTTTCTTTCTTTCTTTATTTCACCTTCCTTTCTTTCTTTCCCTCCCTTTCTTACTTCTTTCTTTTTTCTTTCTTCCTTTCGGTTCTAAGGAGAAGGCAAATATCCAGTCTCCTTGGGAACAGAGCGATGAGGCCAGAAAGCTGGGGAGGCTGGCTGGGGCTTGAGGGGCACTGGGAACACAGACAGGGGGTGGGCTTTGGAGGCTGACCGGCATAGGTCTGAACCCGGGTTACGCCATCATTTCCTGGGGCCCAGTCCCCTCAGGCCCTTCCATCGCATTCTTTTTCCAGCGGTTGTGAGATTCGCATGAAATAATGTCAGGAAGGCTCCACAAACCATCTCTGGCACACAGGAAACATTCGTAACTGTTCATTTCTTTTTGCTTTCCCAGGCAGATGAAGCTACAGGGTCCTCGGATTTCTCCAATTTCCGTAAAAAATTCCAGGAGAGGCGCCCACACGAGGGAGGGACAAGGAAGGCGGCAGTGGCTAATGAGAGTGTAAGGTGTGGATTCAGGAATGAGGAAGAAGTGGAAAGGAATGGGCCAGAGGGAAGGGTGGCAGCTGGGTACCCACAGTGTGAAATATTTATGGCTCAGAAAGCAGGTGGCAGGTCCCTGGGGCCAGGCAGGTAAGGAGCCTATGTGCCTGAAGCCTCAGGCCACAGCCCCCCCACTGCCGTGGGGGAACAGATGCTCCTCATGTCAATTTCTAATTCTCCTTGAGCAACCCCAGCTCAAAAGGTGTCTGGCACTTCAGATGCGACCAGAGGGGAGCTGTGGCTTCCCAGAAGGAGCCTTGCATCAAGAATCAGGACACCGGACACTAGCCTCGGTATTCCTGAAACTCACCTGCCTGTGGTCCCTAAGAGCCAGGTAGATGGAGACAGAGGTTTCACTTTCTCATGTTCCTCATTCTGCTTCATGGTCACTGACTTTCACCTTCAAATCTTATTTGCCCAGAGTATCATCCCAAGGCCTATGACAGAGCCTCACCCTCCGATACATGTTGGCCGACCCAGAGCAAAGGGAAGAAAGAGAGAAGGGGAGAGGTGGGAGTGTGAAGAGGAGAGCATAGCAGCAGGTACTGACATCTCAACGACTGCCCAGGGAGGGGGCATCTGGTGGTTCCCAGCCACACTCGCCCCAGCCCACTCAGATGCTCCCACTGGAAGGACTTCAGACTCAGTGCATGGAAAACACAGGACAGAATTTCACACCAACCAGTTCGCACCATGTGTCACAGTCAGAGACAAACGCACAGAGGAGAAATGACATCAGCCCTCACGTGGCTGTACACACACTTACTCACCTTCCTCCCCTCCCCTCTCTCTAACCACACAGTCTGCATGCTGCCCTGAGAGACATCCGCTAGAGTCTGCAGCCTGGGACTGAATGATGCTGACTGCAGGCCTGGCCATTAATGGCCTGTCCTTGTTATTCTCCTTCCTCTCTCCTGGCCGGTGTCTCACAAGCTAGACACCACAGGGCGATGCCCCGGCCAACACTACCCCAGTCTGTCTCTGGAAGGGACTGGGTAAACCAGCCTCTGCTGCAAGGCAGAGGTGAAGAGGGGCCACTCAGGAGCCAGACTGCCTGGGTTGGAGTCCTAACTAGGTTAGTTCCCTAGGGAAGCTAGGTAACTTCTTGAGGTCTCAGTTTTCCCATCTATCAAATGTGGCTGCCAACATAACCTCATAGAGTGGCTGAGGATTAAATGAGCTCATATGGGTGATGGGCTTTTTACAGTCTCTAGCACAGAGCAAGTGCTCAAAATCCTTCAGCTCGAATCCAGATTTCACTAGTGTGACCGTTGCTCCCTCTCCCAAGATTAACCGTGGAAGAATTATAAAGAGAAAATGCCAAGCCTGGCCTATGTGGCTCAGTTGGTTGGAGCAGTTGTCCTGTAAGTGAAAAGCTGCAATTTCAATTCCCAGTCAGGGGCACATCCCTAGGTTACAGGTTCAATCCAGGTCATTGATCAACATTTCTCTCTAGCATCAATGTTTCTCTCTCTCCCTTCCTCTCCTTCTAAAGCAATGAAAAAAAAATGTCTTTGGGTGAGGAGGAAAAAAGAGAGAGAGAAAGAAAATACAAGATAAAGATATTCCTGTTTCGAACTGGTACATGCGGTAGAGGGGCGGCTTTGGTTTGGGGAGGAGGGGCCAGGCCTGGCTGTGGGATGATAAGAAAGAAAAGATGCTATGGGGTTCTGACCCCTCTTTTCATCCACCACTGTCTTAGAACTGACAGTGACGCTCCATCACCTGTGTGACTCAAGCCTGTGATCCAGGGCTGGCAATACCAGGACCCAGAAGACAGTCTGTGCTGCTGCAGAGCTGATAAGAAAGCAGGCAGGGACAACCGAACTCGAACAGTTGCTTCCTCTCCTCACCCCTGAAACTCTCAGGGCAGGTGACTTGCAATCTAAGAAGCACCTCCCCTTGAGTCTAAAATTGAAGCTCTCAGAAAAGAAAATGAAAGAAAATGCTTATTTGTGACTTAGTAAAATAAG